TATAAATCACTCTAGCATAAAAGGACACTTCTATTTGTTTCCATTTCTTTAGTTGAACTTATAAAAAATGCCAAAGACAACAGTTTTACAGGTGTAAATAGTATTTTTGCTTCAAAAAGGTAAATCCCAGAGACAAAAACGTGGGTTATCTCAGTTGGTGTGCAGTATGTTCTTAAAAAAAAATTGGGTAAGCTAGACAAGTAAAGGAAAAAGATAGTGTCAGTCCTATAACAAACTATCTACAACAGAAGAACAGCATATGAAAGTCATGCCCTTAAAAAAACAGGAAAAAAAATCCAGATCCTGACAATCCACATGAGAATTGCATCTGGACCTTCAGCTGATCCATGAAGGAAGGGAAAGAGGGAAATGTTTGGTTCAATTTGTCAGTATATACGGAGGAGGAGAGAGGTATAAGTGAGGGTCTACATCCATCCAACACAGTGGAGTGTCTGTCGTGGTTTAGAGCTAAATTCTAGTGGGTGGTGTTGGAGATCTTTCCAAAACGGATGGAATTCTGAACACAGAAAAGTTCATTTTGATCAACCATGCAGTGTCATCTGGGAAGCATCTGATTGCTAACAGCTTCATTTTTCAGACAATGACACCAATGCACTGCAGTAAAATCATATAAAATATAAAACACACTAGAAAACCTTCAATCGTGGATTTCTGAAATGCTTTTTAAAAAATAAACAGCTGACAAGACAACAAGGATATCGATTAAAGAGACCCACGTTCCCTGTAATCAGTCTTATTTGAATCAAACTCTGACTTCTTGCAGGATTAAAAGGCACTTATAAGGTTTGTGTTTTTACCTCCTTCACAGGACCTGCAGTCCTGACTGTAGAAAACAAAGAATCATGTTTCAGCCTGATGAGACGAGCATTGGAAGTGGAGATGGCAAATCAACTAAAGATGCATGAAGTTAAAAAGGAAGCAGCTGAATTAACTGATGACACATAAACCTTGTTTTTAAACCTCGGCTTCTCAAATCTACCAGAACAACGAGTCAAATGTGACACATGAGTCATCAGTGATGAAGTTTGTGCACTTTTGCTTCACTGCTTTGATTTCTATTGTTGTTCCCATTGTTTGGACTCTGTGTCATCATCGTCTCATCTAACAGGCAGAAATCTGAAAAATTGAGCAGTTCTCTAAAAAAACACTAGAGTTACATCTGCATGTACGTAGGATTTTTTTTTGTCAAATTTAATTTGCAAAATCTGTCCATCCAGATCAAAATAAAACAGTTTGCCTGGTTCATAAAAAAAATGTAGCCACCAGCGGGCATTGGTTAGAATGAAACTCCTTTATTGAAATTGCACTGACACGATGCTTTATACTGTGTATACAGTGGGGCAAAAAAGTATTTAGTCAGCCACCGATTGTGCAAGTTCCCCCACTTAAAATGATGACAGAGGTGGAAAATAAGTATTTGGTCACCTCAAACATGGAAAATCTCTGGCTCTCACAGACCTGTAACGTCTTCTGTAAGAAGCTTTTCTGTCCCCCACTCGTTACCTGTATGAATGGCACCTGTTTGAACTCATCATCTGTATAAAAGACACCTGTCCACAGCCTCAGACAGTCAGACTCCAAACTCCGCCATGGCCAAGACCAAAGAGCTTTCAAAGGACACCAGGAAAAGTATTGTAGACCTGCACCAGACTGGGAAGAGTGAATCTACAATAGGCAAGCAGCTTGGTGTGAAAAAATCAACTGTGGGAGCAATCATCAGAAAATGGAAGACATACAAGACCACTGATAATCTCCCTCGATCTGGGGCTCCACGCAAGATCTCATCCCGTGGGGTCAAAATGATCATGAGAACGGTGAGCAAAGATCCCAGAACCACACGGGGGGACCTGGTGAATGACCTGCAGAGAGCTGGGACCAAAGTAACAAAGGTCACCATCAGTAACACACTACAACGGCAGGGAATCAAATCCCGCAGTGCCAGACGTGTTCCGCTGCTGAAGCCAGTGCATGTCCAGGCCCGTCTGAAGTTTGCCAGAGAGCACATGGATGATACAGCAGAGGATTGGGAGAATGTCATGTGGTCAGATGAAACCAAAGTAGAACTTTTTGGTATAAACTCAACTCGTCGTGTTTGGAGGAAGAAGAATACTGAGTTGCATCCCAAGAACACCATACCTACTGTGAAGCATGGGGGTGGAAACATCATGCTATGGGGCTGTTTTTCTGCCAAGGGGACAGGACGACTGATCCGTGTTAAGGACAGAATGAATGGGGCCATGTATCGTGAGATTTTGAGCCAAAACCTCCTTCCATCAGTGAGAACTTTGAAGATGAAACGAGGCTGGGTCTTCCAACATGACAATGATCCAAAACACACCGCCCGGGCAACAAAGGAGTGGCTCCGTAAGAAGCATTTGAAAGTCCTGGAGTGGCCTAGCCAGTCTCCAGACCTCAACCCATAGAAAATCTGTGGCGGGAGTTGAAAGTCCGTGTTGCTCGGCGACAGCCCCAAAACATCACTGCTCTCGAGAAGATCTGCATGGAGGAATGGGCCAAAATACCAGCTACTGTGTGTGCAAACCTGGTAAAGACCTATAGTAAACGTTTGACCTCTGTTATTGCCAACAAAGGTTATGTTACAAAGTATTGAGTTGTATTTTTTGTTATTGACCAAATACTTATTTTCCACCCTGATTTACGAATAAATTCTTTACAAATCCTACCATGTGGATTCATGGATTTTTTTTTTCCACATTCTGTCTCTCACAGTTGAAGTGTACCTCTGGTGCAAATTACTGACCTCTGTCATCATTTTAGGTGGGGGAACTTGCACAATCGGTGGCTGGCTAAATACTTTTTTGCCCCACTGTAACTGCTTAAAGGTTAATCAGGCTAGCTTAATGAAGTAGCAGTAATTGCTATTTTTGTTCACTTACAATGTGCCATTTAAGTAATTACATATAAAATCTAATTTAATTCAAATCAAACTAGAATAATAAAGAGAAACAGGAACTCAACATTGTGAGTAGCTCACAGCATTTACACAATTAACATGAACACGAAAGCTACCAGTAAGAGTTTGTTTGTTTGTAAGCTTTTGGGGCTTTACCAGTTCATAAAAATAAAGAATAATTAGGATTAAATAAAATAATTTAAAAAAAACATATACAAGAGATTTTAGCTAAGTGTATTGTTTATTTATATGTTATATATGTGTTATAAGTTATTTATTCAGCACTGCTAAAAGCTAACCAGCCAAGCTGAGCAGAATAAAGAAGACCCCTGTAATTATCCATCCATCCTCTTCCACTTATCCAGTCCAGGGTCAAGATGCACCCCACCTCCTGCTCCACCCAGGGTCTTCTTGCTGTGAGGCAAAAGTGCGAACCACATGCCAGCGTAATTCTATAAAGCCCAATTTAAAAAAAAAAAGAAAAATACTGGTTTTAATCACATTTTCTTAAACTCGCTGTAGTTCTTTGGTCATCTGTGCACTGTGGAGAAATAAGCAAAGAAACAACCAAAGTTGACTCAGAGTTTATTAAGAAAATTTGAGCAAAAGATTAAAAAAAAAAAAACCCCAACAAAATCTAAAAATTAGTCTCCATCAAAATACAGAAGGCATCTCTCAGCAAACAGCTTTGACCAACTCGAGTTAGCAGCTCGACATTAACTGAATATCTGAAGTCGTGACTCCAAACTGCTGCACATTATCAGTCCGTCAGAGGCACGATGTGAAGCACACAGATTTACATCATGTAACCGCCTGCATGTGTACTAAACAATAAAACGTTACATTGTTGTCGTTTGTTTGGGGCTTGAAGTACAAAGTTAGACCACGAGGCCGCCCGTGTAATAGGATAAAACGTCTGAGAGCAAACTTTTGTTATATTCTGCGATAGCGTTATAGCAGGATGTTAGCGTTTGATGCTCGACCTATACGTGGGTGAAGTTGGAATAATGACAGAAAAGCATTTAACGAAACAAAGCGTTAAACACGTTATGGGTTATGGGGGCTTTTCAACGTAACTACCAGAATTTCTCCTTTGGTGTGTAAACTAAAAAGCTGGATTTGATTTTTAAACTTTGTTTCCTCCCTGAAAAACAAACAAAAACATTAACTTCTTTGACATTTACACCTAATTCAAAATTTCAAGTTATTTTCTCAGACGTGTGAGACGCGTTTTGATGCACGCTAAATCATCCAGGTAAGGAGCATTGGGAAGAAGCATTTCATCCAAGTGACTTCTTCAGTCTCAGCTGACAGTGAGCTGTGAGCTCGGTTCTCACGATGAAAACACTTCGCCCAGAAGAAAATCAGCTTTCAGGGAAGTTTCAGGTGCGTCATGCAGAATTTTGGGTTTCTCTTAGAGAAACCTTATTTCTCTTAGACTCCAGGAGCTACTCTAGTGGAGTCAATAGAAATATGAAGCTGATGAATCTATTATGGCTGCTATAACCAAATATGGCTTTAACCCCTCAATGCCTAGTGCATTATATTTGATGTTTTTGAGACTTCTACATCATCAGTGTGATTTTTTCCCCCAGATGTAACAAATATGATACAAATTAAAAGTCATATATGAAAATAAAATGTAATTATTTTTATAAAGAAATTTGTCAAATGGTTCAAAGACTGCCCGTTTTCAAAAACTCTTAATTTTCTGGCACTTAATATTATTTTACATTTTGGGTTTTAAGTGATTAAAAAGAAAACAAAACTGTGTTGGAGATTTAAAAAAGTCTAATAATTCAAATTGTCCCTTAGAAACATCGGACGAGTCAGAAATGTGTTCTCTGCCTTTCTTTGGTGCAATGTGGGTCGTCCTTTAGTCTTTACCTTCACCGTGAGTCACGCCGAGCTCAATATTACTGGAACGTTTGGAGTCACAGCCGCCTTATTTTTGGAACAATAAGCCACCTTTGGATATTTTCCTTCCAACATTATATTCAGGACCAATGATGCATGAAGACGATATAAATTCTGTCAGTTTTTCACAATAAAATTCAAAAACATCTTCATTTTCAAAATCTTTATTTACACAGCAGTCACTTCCCAGACGTGTGGCTCTTCATGTGCAGCCTCACGTACGTCTTTCGGTGGAAGCCTTTCCCGCAGACCTCGCAGCGGTACGGTTTGACTCCCGTGTGCGTGCTGCTGTGCTGCTTCAGGCTCGTTTGGTCGCTGAAGCCTCGGCCGCAGACGTTGCACAGAAACGGTTTCTCCCCCGTGTGCGTCCTGATGTGCCGCAACATGTTGTGTCTGCAGTTGAAGGATTTCCCGCACTCATTGCACAGAAACGGTTTCTCCCCGGTGTGAATCCTCATGTGCATCTCCAGGTTTCCGTGCCCGTCGAAACACTTACCGCACACTTCGCAGACCTTCCCGCTTTTGTGAGTCTTCAGGTGACTTTTCAAGTTTTCCTCAGAATCAAAATTCATCCCGCACACGCCGCAGACATCTGTGGCGTGACTTTTGGCGTGATTCACCAGAGAAACCACCGAGTGGAACATTTTCCCGCATACTTCGCATATAGCCCGGGACTTTTTTGACTGCGATGTCTTGAGCCCCTTGTCGCCGTCATCGTTAACCGATGAGTTTTCTGGATTGCGGGTTTTCTTGCGGATATGAACCAGCAGGTGGCGCTTCAGAGTCGAGTAGTCATTGAAGCATTTCCCACAGATGGTGCAGGTGTACGGTTTTTCCCCTGTGTGTATCCTGATGTGTCGCACCATGTTGTGACGGCAGTTGAAGGATTTCCCGCACTCGCTGCACAGGAACGGTTTCTCCCCCGTGTGGATCCTCATGTGCGTCTCCAGGTTGCTCGAGGTCCCGAAACACTTCCCGCAGACGCTGCAGATCTCCGCTTTCACGTGAGTTTTCACGTGACTGTGAAAGCTCTCCTCGCTGTCGAAACGTTCCCCGCACACGCCACAGACATCCTTGGGGTGAATCTCCATGTGGTTCACCAAAGAGATGTTGGCGTGGAAGCCTTTCCCGCACACTTTACAGCAGATTCTGGATTTGAGTTTTTTGGCCAGGTGCAGTGTCGGCGCCATCGGTACACGAGGCCCCTTCTTCTTCTTCGGCTTCCACTCGTGGCTTCTGTCGCTGTCGTCGCTCTGAGAATCCACACTGGCCCTCCACTCATCATCGCTGTTGACAGTCGAGGAGCTGGAGGAGGCCTCGTCATTGTCTTCCACAGTCACTTCTTCCTGCGCCTGCTCCTGTTCTGTGGACGTGCTGGGTAGAGGATCGCCACCGCCTCCTTTAGTGCTCGGAGAGCTGGGCTGATGCTTGAAGATGAACCCGATGGCGCTATCCTCCTCCCCTTCAACCTCTTGCAGCGCCTGCTCTTCCTCCTCCCTCAGCTCCTGAAGCGGGTGCTGTGGCTGCTCCTCGTCCTCCTCCTGGTTCTTGTCCGTCTGTAGAGATTCTTCATTCTCCAAGTCTTGACCGGGGCTCCACTCCAGCTCACACTGCTCCTCTGCCTGCTGCTGATCCTCAGGGAAGTCCTCGTCCCAGACAGTCAGCGCGAGCTGCGGCTGGTCTGCAGAGAGAGAGAAAAAAAAAAGTTCAAACTTTCAGGAAACAGTGATGTCATCAAGAGCCATGATACAAACTATACTCCAGATACCACCACAAATAACTGACTGAGGGCTACATTTTATTCTGATCTACAAATTTGACAGATAAACAAAAGTGTTCATCAATGGTTCAAGACTGACATTTAAAACAAACAAATAAAAATCAGACAACTGATATTTTGTCTTCCAGACAGGAAGAATGAAGAGATTTCCCCTAATATTTGTTATGCATAGTCCCCGCCCCCTGGAGGGGAGGAGTCTGTAATCAGGTCTGTTTGTCTGTCTCTTAGTAATCTAGCATCTAGAGTTTCAACATATCATTTTCTAACTTTGTGTGATTGTTGATACCAATAACGGCTCAAGCTGATTTAGTTTTGCTGCATATTTGGTCAAAGTCGCACCAAATGTGAAAATCAGTAAAAACTTCATATTACCCAGTTTTCTATGGATCGTCTTCAAACTTCACAATAATACACTAGACCTCAGGGCACATGAGTGCTTAGGTTTTAGATCTCTCTTATAGAGTGTGTTTCACCTCTCTATGCTGTCTCCCCCCCTTATCCTGGTAATGCTGGAGGTCGCTTCCTGTTAAAAGGGATTTCTTCCTTCCCATCCTTGCCACGATCACCTCACAGGGGATTGTCTGACTGTTGAGGTTCCCTCTCTTTGTATCAATATTCAGCTTTTAAGCCCTAACTTAAAGTTAAGTTACACTTGGTAGTTTTAAGTTTAGCTTAATTCACTTTTATTTATATGGCGCCAAATCACAACAACAGTTGCCTCGAGAAGCTCTACAGTTATGATCAGTCACGGATCGGCCTCCCCAGAGCCCGGACCTCAACATAACTGACACAGTATGGGATCATCCCGACAGAAAACAGAACGAAAGTCAGAAATATCCAAGGAAGATCTTTGAATGTCCTTCAAGAACCTTGCAGAGCTATTCCTGAACACCACTTGCACATTCTAAGGAGCTTGGATAGAAAGCGACTGGACTTGTTTAAGTGTGTTGAAGACATTTCACCGCTCATGCAAGAAGTTTCTTCAGTTCTAAAACCAAATGGTGGAGAGGCCCAGGTATTTAAGGCCTAGTGGGAGTTGTCCCTTAAGTGTGTTCTTTATTAATCACGTGCCTCATCATATGAGTCAAGGTGTGGACAGAAGCGTGGGTCATTTTTAGCAGAGGTTTCAGGTAAAACCACTGTGAGACCTTCACTCCCTGACTGAGAACCTACACAGACTCTGCTTGGAAATGTTTCAATACAAAGAGCATTGGTGTTGCTCAAGACTTGTGCAGATCACTGTAATATTTGCATGTGGAGAAATAAAATTGTCTTACTAAATGTGTCTGTGGAGTTTGGTGTCCCAGCAGCAGTCTCTTCATGAAAACCAGCCCGTAAAAGTTCATTTTTCTCAGACTGTAGAGCAGCTCGGTGAATCACTTGTCAGACTTAAATGTCATGCTTGGGTAACAAACAAACGAATAATATATATATATATATATATATATATAGTTTGAGAGAATTTAATGAGCAAACACTGTCTTTTGAACTGTTGAAATGAGGCCAAAGAAAGTTTGTCAATCTAAACTTAAAGCCCTTAATTGAATAACAAAGCAAGTCACGCTAGTCAGAAATAGGCTTCCAGACTTTGTCAGGTGAACATCTTTGAATTCAGAGGCGGAAACGATTTATTTCGAAAAGTTCGGCGCCCTGACGGTCACCTTTCAATCAGTCATTTAAAGTTTCTATTGCTCAGAGTGTGAGGCAGCTTTGTCAATAACTTTTATGCCGAATTCAAAAGCATACTTTGAAATTAAGGAATGTGTTTTTATTGAGGTTGGGACCTTTGCTTTTAAATGGGAAACGTTAAATCTGCAAATTTTTTGAATGGGGTACCACTGGGCAGACATGCTGCCCCAGATGGGCCTGTTTCCAGTGCGGCCTGTTAGCGGACAACCTGAAGGGCTGAAGACACGCCGGCAGCTCACAGACCTGAGTGTTTGCCGGCGTACGTCTCTGATCTGGACTCTCTCTGCAGCATCCGTCGCTGGCGGCGGATCTCCCGTTTGGACAGCAGGATCTCCTCCTCATAGCCCGCGATGGTCTTCTTCACCGCCTCCAAGATGTCGTCGGCGGCCGCGGCCAGCCGCTCGTTAACGAGCACTCTGAGCAGCTGGATGCTGGACATGACCGAGAGCCCGATGAGCCAGAGACGTGGAAACAAGAGCTTTCTGTTTTCAGACGCTGATTTCTGAAGAGAAAACAGCAGCACAATGTGCTAAAGGACTACTGTCAAGATGGCGCCTATGTTCGTCTGACAGGAAGAATTACGGTTAGCTGGGCTTCTTTTCAAAATAAGAGCTTCAAGTTGATAGCTGTTGAGATTATTGCATAAAAGCAGGTTTTAGTTGGATTTTGCACAGGTAAATTAAGTTTGTTTTTATGATAAACACCAAAATGACAGAACAGGGAGCTCACTTCTTTCTGACGCACATCAGAGCTTTACAAACTCCAAAGCATTCCTAACATGAACATCAGCAGGTAGGGACCAAGATTACCCTTTAAATCAGGTTATATAACCTATTTTAAAAGGTAATCTTTCTCCCTTACAGGTACTTTTTGTAATTACCCTCTACATGTTTTAGCTGCAAGTGAAACCAGGTGGCAGTGTTTTACCAGGAGGTGATTCGAGGGGTTTTCAATTGCGTGCTTCTCTTTATTCGTTTTTAGTCTCACAGGACTGGAATGGGATCAAATCGGCGCTGGACGCGCTCTCTCTCTCTCTCTCTAATGCAGGGGTAGGCAACTCCAGGCCTCGAGAGCCGCTGTCCTGCAGGTTTTAGATGCGTCCTTGATCCAACACAGCTGATTTAAATGACTAAATTAGCTCCTCAACATGTCTTGAAGTTCTCCAGAGGCCTGGTAATGAACTAATCATTTGATTCAGGTGTGTTGACCCAGGGTTAGATCTAAAACCCGCAGGACACCGGCCCTCAAGGCCTGGAGTTGCCCACCCCTGCTCTAATGCTAAAAACACATTTTAATTAACCCAAAAAGTAAATACTAGATTTTGGAAGATTGTACTTGCTTTTTAGACCACAGACTTTTTATATACTAAACTGAGACGTTTTATCTACTTTATTCTGAAATAATTCTGAATCACCTCTGAACATAATTTGGTTTTTAATCAATCAATCTTACCATACAGATAAATGTAATCTAAATGATTTTATTCTTGTAAAACACTTCCAACTGCAGTCTAAATACTTCCGGTTGGACTTCTTTTCAAACTAAAGCAACACAACCATCCACTAGATGGCAGCCTTCTCTAATAAAACACTGATTCATGGACTGTGCTCATGTTTTATGTGCATGAAATGATTTATAATTATTTATTTTTTTGAGGTGTTTATCTTTTGGGCTGTAAAATAAACAAAATCCTGAGACAGGTTGACGTCAACATTCAATACTTTTATTGTGAAAAATCTTCATACACATCGCCTTAAACTGTACAATCAATAATTTAAAAACAAGAAAGAAAAATGTTCAGCTTGATGTTTAAAGATCATTACCTCTCTCTCACACTCACTCTCACACACACACACTCACTCTCACACACACACACACTCACACTCGCACACACACACACACACACACACACACACACGCTCAGCAGCTTCAGCCAAAACGACAGGAGTAGTGTTTTACTGGTCATTTTTCTTCTTGCTGTTACAAACATTCCCACAATCCTCTGAACGTTTTTGTGGTTATTCAAATAAAAAACTGTGGCTGGATGAACAAACACAACAACACACGAGGTTTGTTGTGCTGATGTCGAGAAAATAAAAGCCTCAGAGTGGGAGAAGCTAAAAACCTAAAAATGTTGGCAAAGAGATGAAACCTGATGGTGAGAGTGTTTTTCCATTCATGAACTTCCGTAACAAACGTTTAAAATACGTGTGAAAACTGCAGGAGAAGAAAACTGCTGAACCACGCTCACAGGCTCCTCATCAGGAGGACAGTTTCTTCACTTCCTGTTGTGACTACGAGTTTCTGCACGTTTACTAAAAACCATGTGATCATCACTGCTGATTTCCTTTTATTCAGCTGTGCGTCAAACGTAAAAGTTCCTCCAATTATTTACATGTATCTTCCATAGTGTGCAATAGGTCGGCAGCCTTAACATGAAATTTCCCACTCGTGGTACTAATAAAGGTATCTTATCTTATCCTGGGACTCCATCAGAGCAGCGCCACATGACTTGCAGATCAGGAATGACCTTATTTATCGCCGCCCGGCCTTTCTGTCAAACAAGCTGACTTTCATCCCATTGCTTAAAGGCACCCACCTTCCTGAACCTTCTTCTGACTGGCTAAAGTCTGGACGACTGCTGAGGGGCCGTTTTAAGTATTTGTGAGCTGTGCTGTCTGCAGAAAGGACAGGATGAAGAAATCTGCTTCTCTAAACCTTAATCAGAGCAAAAAGAGGCTGAACTTTGGCTTAACAGGGTTACATTTACATATTGTTGCCTCATTATTAGAACCAATAGACATGTTTAATATAGAAGTCTGGCATTATAACAGAAACATGCAGAGTGCTTTAAGTGTAGTTTACAATCCTGCATGAAATGAGGGGTATGTCGAAATTTTTAGGACTGAAAACACAAAAACATTTAAAATGAATAGTCTTAATTCACATTAAAGTTAGTAAAATGATGTCACAGAGAGTGGACATGCCTAATATTGTATCTCAGACCATCCAATTGCACGTGGTAGCCAATCAGAAGAAAGCTGGTTTAAACAGGGAGGAGCTAAATTACTCTGTTTCAGGCAGAGGATGAGCTGAGGGGCTGCACAGAGGCTCGGTTTCAGATAAAGAAGGGTTATTCTGAACTGTGAATCATGCAAAGCTGCTCTGAGGGAGCTGGAAACGAGCTGAACAGGTCAGCTGTAAATCTACGTCATGTTTCTCCTTTAATCAGCGACTCATATCTCTGCAGTTTATCGAGAACTTAAACTCTGACTCTTCTTTATTTGACCTTTCAGGTGACTTGTGCGTTATTTTAGATGAACAGCATTCAGCCCGATCGAGCTTCTATTTTTAGAAGCTTTGCACTAAAACACTTTCAGTGAGAGGCCGAGCACAGATGCTGTTTACTGGGCTGAGATCAGTGAACATTAAACCACCATAAACAAGACTCATCTCATGGTTTGGCTATTCTTAGAGAACATTAGGCTGGTCCTGAGGGTGCTGCTGGAACTACAGTTAATGTGTGTGGTGGAGGAATAATCTGACTCTGGATCAGTGGCGGGCATCATTAAAGGTTAGAAAGGAGACAAAACAAAACCGAGCGGATGGAGAGACGCCACAAAACCTGGAACGAAGCGCAGAGAAAAAACGAAGGAAAAGAAGGCAGAAGCAGAAACTGAGGAGGAAACAAACCACGCAGCGAGCAGAGAGGAAGAAAGAGACAGAGATGAAGCTCTTCAGAGATCTATGAAAGGAGAATCTATTATTCAGCAGCTATGAATCATGGGACAGCGTGCGGAGGCGGCGGTGCAGATCAGAGGCAGAGAGAGAAGAAGACCTGCTGCTTTGGTTCCCGTGGGAGATCCAGTCGGAGGAGTTTAAAACGCAGCGACTCGGAAGATTTCACGTGTTCCGGCTCGTTTCTACACGAGCGGCCGCTCGCGCACGGAGGCCGACGCTGCGCTGACAGGAGGACGAGCAGGGCGGGAACACGGACGGCAAACACGAGGCGGACGGTCATTTAATTCCACCCTCGTGGTCGCAGCTTAATTCAATTATCAAGAGCTCACGTTTAAACGCAGTCTGCTGTGTTTTGTATTTCAAACATCAGGAAAACCAGCAGCAGACATCCTGAACACACGTCTGTGCTTCAGTCCTCTGAAAGGACCTGCAGCTCGCTCCCACCTGACCTCTGACCCCCTCAGAGTCAGCTGATTTCTGCTGAGTGGTTTATTTAATGACGCCGTGCAAAGTTAAAAAGTTATCCCAGCAGACGTGTGCGATACGCGGCCACACGTCTGCTTTTTTCTACATTTGACACCGCGGTCGTCTTCTAACTCCGACTCCTTCTGGGTCTAAATTATTAACTACTGCAGTTTTTGTCACTCGTGAAAGGAGCTGATGGTTGTGACGGAAATGAAGGCGAGATTTTATCTTCAGATTGAGACTCTGAGTGGGCGGAAACTGATTTGGTCGCAGTTTATCAAAAACACATTATTGATTTTCTCTGAAATGTGACGCAAACCACAGAATAAAAAATTGCAAACAGCATAAAAAAGGAAGTTAAGCATCCTGAAATGAAATGAAACTGTTTATGCTTCCACTGAGAGAAAGGCTTTTTAGATTTTTAACATCTCCCGATTAATGTTCTGCTCTGTGCGACGTCTCAAAAAGTGAAACGAGTCGATTAAAATGAAAATGTTCCTGTCGGCTGACACTTTGCTCTGAGAGTTGGTTATGAAAGACAGCGAGTGACATTCAGAGCGCTCCGATAAACACGGGTCACTGTTTACTATCAACACTGGAAAGTTTCCACTGCAACACGAGCCTGACCAGCCGCTGTGACTGGTTTCCTGTTTGCCCTCATCAGAACTTCAACTGTCACATCATCAACAGCTTCAGAAAGTCTCGGGCGTCGCTGCCTCTCCCCACGAGAGCTCAGGCAGACTGAAGCGTATGGAAACACCTCCGCAGACAGACGTGCGGGACGCCCGCAGCTACAGCAGTCACAGGAGCGCAGTAAGCTAACAGCTGAGGGGACTGTGTGGGTTAAAGATGTGACCGGATGGTTACAATGACTCGCCACCCAATGAAGAGCAGCAGCTGTGCTCGGGTTAAACTCGTGAAAATAAAACCAAACATGTTGTTACACAAAGAGCGGGCGCGACACTCAGCGAAGCCCGAGTGATCGCCGATCCACCAAAATCACCAATCAGCAACCAAAACATAAACACGTGAGCCAATCATGTCGCAGCAGAGCTTCAGGACCGTTTCAGACAGAGCCAAGCTTCATCACAGTAAATATGATCATTTTAATCGGAAACAGCACCCCGATGCTTCAGCGCCGTGTTGGGAAACTTCAAACTGCATTTTAGGCCAAAGAAAAGCTGCGTGCTGAGGCTCTCTGCCCACGCGTTCAGATCTGAGCACAAAAACACTGTGGAGATTTCCTCTGTGCTACTTCTGGCTCCTAATTAACAGTTTGCAGTTTTCAAATCTGCACGATCGGCCGGTTTTCTTTGTCTTCTATGACTTTAAGTTCATTCAATTTGAACTTTTTGCAGTGAAAATCTGAGAAATTCAATGACAGCTGGAACATCTTTCAGCAAAGTTAGTGTGATTTGGGTTTTATTAATCAGTGATCAACTGTGACACTGCAGCCATTAGGGTGACACCATATATTTGCTTCACTTCTTTGTGCTCAATTTAGAGGTTCAGCTGACGATTGAGTCATAAAAGAGCGAAAAACCACAAATAATCTGTTTAAAATGCAATAAAACCCCAGAAAAGCAGCATTATTTAATGA